GTCCACACCCACCCCCACAGTGGAGATGTCTGTGGATGAACCGCTACACTCGGGATCAGGGCAAGTTACATTAAGAAGCCACCAGGTAGGGATGGAAAAGGTCCATAGCACTTTGTAAAAACTTCCTCTGAAATGAAGCAGACGTGGGGCAGGGGGGGAGGGGCTAAATGATATCATGGTCACAGTTTTAAAGGAAGATTTTCCAGTATCAAAAACAGGTTTGAATGTCTCATGCACACAGTTCACAAACACCATCAGTGCGATCATCACAGTTTGGTCTTCACAGCCTGCTTCCAAATATGTCAGTGGTGTTTTGGTTCACATCTATGATCCCAAACCCTAGTGTTCCACAGGGTCTTGTCCATAAATTAACATCGAGACAGAAGACACAGCTGTCGTCACCCCTCCCTCACCAGGTCAGTCAGGACTCAGCATGGGTGTGCCATGTGGGGAGCAGGAGCCTCACTGTGGGTGGTCTGTGTTTGCAGCAACACAAAGCAGCACGCATGCTTCCCACCACTGCAGTCTGCTCGTTATACAGGGAGGAAACTTGCAAACAATGAGAAGGAAACTGGCCAGGGAAGGTATGCCTTGGGAAACAGAGATCTAGATGCAGGGAGACAGGGTAGCAGGGCAGCAGTTGGCTCCACTGGGCCACTGTGATCAACAAGGAAGGCCCATGTGCTAGGAAAGGGGGGTAACTTGGGTCCAAAGAGTCAAAATCCCCAAGGAACAGGCTGAGTAGCTCTTCAAGCAGTGGTACCACCAAGGAACCTTAAAGCCCAGGCTGCCAGCTGTGGCCCCACCTGGCTCTTCACATGGGTGGAAGCATCTAGCCCACGGTTAGGGCCAGAGTGATCACACCACCAGAACAGCCAGTGACTCCAGCCCAAAGTCTTTGGCATGGGTTATGGACTGAATGTGAGGTTGACCCATGTTGGCATCACCCTACAGAAAAATGTGTACTTCAGTTGGTGCTGGCTTTGGGGAGCTACTTGCTGGGTGAATTCAGCAGATTGGAAATATCCCTAATACTCTTTCCCCAGGCACCCCCAGCTGCCTCCACCTGACCCTGTGGGGGTGCATGGAGCCTTTACCTCCCTAATAGTACCCCTGCTTCTTTGGTCCTAAGTCCCCATAGAGGCACAGAGGCTAAACTTCCCCTTTGGGAGCTGGGGGCCCTGTGCCCATGTGCTCACAGCCTTGCCTGGTCCTGTGCTCTGTGCACTTGCAGTGATGAGGGGGGTCTCATGTGCAGCAACACAGCTGGGCCACACTGTGTGTTCCGGGGTGGCCCCAGAGGACAGATACTCAGCTCACAGATGGACCTGCGGCAGGGGGCTCACACCATCGCTGACCATGCCGTCCCGTGTCAGGCCACCAGGGCTGAGCAGGGAGTTTTGTCACACAAAGTCACAGGTGAGAATGGTGTCTCGGGCTCTGTGACCCCTTGTCCAGACAGCAGCAAGGAGAGTGTCCTGGGGCAAAGGCAAGGTGTTTGTTGTATTCTGTGTGGGGAGGGGTGTGTTCTGAGCAGCAGGCCAGCTTTGGTGGCGCCTCTCTGCTCACACAGCAGACAGATCCACGCGATGGGCAGAATGGCTGCTCCTGTCCCAAGGGCTGAGCCTGGTGGAAGCTGTGCCTAGCCGGGTCCCGTTCATCTGCAAAACACAAAGGAGTGAAGAGTGAGGACTCTGCTCCAAGAGAAAAACAAACCCCATATGAGTGCTAAAAGCTCTGGGCCAGAGAGTTGCATGAGGACCCTCCCTGACAGGGCCCGCTGCCCACAGGACACCAGCATGCTGAACACTAGCTGGTCTGGGCAGGAGATCTCTGCAGATGTCCCTGTCCCACCATTTCCAGGTTGTGGTGTGCATCCACCCACTCATCTGCCCATCCGTTCATTCACGCATTCACCCATTCTTGATTCACTGAGCATCCCATGTGCTGGCTGCTGTTGCAGACCACAGGGTTACAGCCAACCAGATCCATGCTCCCACGGGGAGCACATTCCAACAGGGGAGGTGACAACAGCCACCAGCAATGTATGAACAATTGCCGGCAGTGGCAGGAGTATGACAGTAGGGTGGGGGCACCTTTGTTTAGTGCTGTCCAGGAAGGGCTTCCTGAAGAGGGGACACCTGAGCCAGGACCTATGTGACAGGCAGGAGGTGGCGGTACAATGAGAATGTGTACCAGCGTCTGGCCCAGGCTGCTGGGGGGCCTGTCTGGGGTCTGGAGGCCAGAGAGGTCAGTGTGTCCAGTGTTTGCCTCTTGGTAAACTGATCTCCAAATGCTTCCATCACCCTAAGTCAACACAAGAAGTATGGACCCTTGGAAATGGTGCAGGAGAGAGGGACGTGGTGACTTCCTCAGGACACAGGATGCTGCAGAGGGCCCGTGGCCTCTATCAGTTATGAAAGGGAGGGAAAAGAGCAAGCAGCGCCCACAGACCCTCTAGCACCGTGACCTGGCAGCTGCCTGCATGACATAACCCTGCTGAGGGTGAGCCTGGGCAAGGATAGGATGGGCTGGAGGCTCCGGATTGAGAGAGACCGAGCCTGCAGTGCCATGTGTCCTTTGTGGCAGGGGCTGCATGCAGCTCAGTGTAGCCAGACAGCAGCTCCATGGCCAGGCTGCTGATGAGAACTGGCTGCTAGGTAGCAACCACAAGGCCAAGAGCCCTGGGGTCCGTGAGGGCTGAGGATGCAAGGCACACAGCAGAAAGAGGGGACCCAAGACGAGACCCATGCTGCACTCACGATGTCTGAGTGGAAGGGCTTCACGTTGACGTTGCGGGTAGAGCTGCTCGTGAGGGACCAGACCTTGGTTTTGTGCTTGAAGGCAGCTCTTACCTTTGAAAACAGCAGGAAGGCTTCTTTAGAAGCAATTTCAGAAGTTGAAACAGCAACAATCAGAGATCAATCTAAACAGCTTCTAGGAATCTGTACTAATGTGAGGCCCCAGGACACTGAACATAGGTAGAGGACAGGATTGGTGAACATTAGACTTAGAGCTGTGGCTCCAAAGCCGAGCCATGCATGTTGACTCATTTGGCAGACACAGACTGTTCCAACCACTGTAAGGGGCCTGGCATGGGGAGACCAAGCTGGATCTGGCCTGGTCTCTGCTGGCTTCCTCACAGTGAATTTCTCAGGGGACAAACTGTGATGATGGTCAACAGAGACAACAGAGAGAAGTAAATAAATCATACATGGTGGTGGTGGGGGTGGGAGGGACATGCATGGTTCTGAGGCCGCATACCCTCCCTACCATATGAATCAGTTTGAGGCCTTGCTCAGGCAGACCCCTGGTCTTTGCAATCATGTGACCCTCCCTCCACTGGGCGCTGTCTTCCTCAGTGACTCACCCTGCCCTGCCCACCCTGCCACCCCCCGGCTGGCCTTGCAGGTGGAAGACCTCCACTGGAGAGACACAGGCAGGGGTGGGGCTTCTGCCTGGGCCCAGTCCCCATCTCAGTGGCAGTTCCCTATGACTGCAGTCTGGCAGGGGCTTGAAGGCCAAGGGACAGAGTGCCAGGACCCCAATTAAAGGGTACAGGTTCTCTCACAGGGCTGAGGCTCCTGAGGGGGCAGGGCCATGTCCAGAGCAGCTCGCCCTCCCACAGCCACGTGCACAGCAGGTGCCATGCCCCATACTGTACTGAGAAGACGAGCCCACTCCAGCTGCCCCAGTGCCCTCTATTATTGTGGCCAAGAGGGCTAAACATCTCTATTTAGTTTTGTGTGTTTGTTTTGGCGGTTGGCCCCTACAGTGATCAAACCCTGGACTCGTGGTGCTATCAGCACCATGCTGGGAGAAAGTCACAGAAGTCCTCTCTTTACACTCCAGGCCAGCTTCCCCAATGCCCTGGGGGAGTGCTATTGGAAACACACCTACACGTTCCCCTCCCTAATATGCCAGACACCAAGTGAAGCCTTGATTCTGCAGCTCAGCTCTCTCCGCCATGCTGGGAGAAAGTCACAGAAGTCCTCTCTTTACACTCCAGGCCAGCTTCCCCAATGCCCTGGTGGAGTGCTATTGGAAACACACCTACATGTTCCCCTCCCTAATATGCCAGACACCAAGTGAAGCCTTGATTCTGCAGCTCAGCTCTCTCCCCACAGTCTCCACCTACTCTTGTCCTCTACACAGCCAGCAGTGCCTGCTGTGACGTCAGTGACAGAGGATGCTTGTGTGGCACCAGCAACCAGGATGGGAGAGAAAGGGGTGCTGGAAGGCAAGCCCACTGCCCACACTTGTTAGCAATAGCAAGGCTTATTTGGGGTTGCGTTCCGAGAAAATGGCCTGACAGGGCAGCACTGTTCCTGCTCTGTGCCCTTTCCAAAATGAAAAACCGGCTTCGTACTCTCAGGAAGTGGAGCAGACGTACCTCTGAATTCAGGAGACAATGAAAGAGGAAGATGAAAAGTCCCTGGGAAGGAAGAGAGGAAAACACGGAATCAGAACCACTTGCATTTTGTTACAAACATTTCTGAAGGTTCTTTCCACACGGGGGCTCTGAGAGTGGCGTTGGCATGGCTCACTGGTGGGGGGCTTACTGTGATGCTGAATCCTGTGTCTGGAGTCCATGAGGATGGAGGGGTGTCCTGGATGCCACCCTGTAATCTAACCTGTGAGGTGAACATGATAACCACTACACTATGGAAACCTGCTATACTCTAACCGGGATTCAGGTGGCCGCTATGACCAGAGCTCAGAGGTGGTGGTACTGCCTGGGCAAAGGTACAAAGACAAGTGAATTCCAGACGAGCTCGATTTAGGGGAGAAGCAAACATTCTGGGGGTGGACGTTAACTGTAACTAAGCCTTGGTTTTCTCATCTGCAGACCGGGGATGATGATAACAATGATAACAAGCACAGGAATGAGGATGTCACCAAACACTGAGAGACACAGGGAGCTACCTGTGCCAGGCACCAGGCAAACACTCCACACGAGTCATCGCATTTAGTGCTAAAGGCAGCCCCGTTAAGCGGGCCCTGCTGTTGCCCCATTTTATGGAGGATACCGGCGAGGATGCACAGAGAGGAATAATGGAGACCAAGAGTGTCGGGGCTTCAGCTGGGACGACCTCTCACATTCCACTGTAGACAACCAGAGGAAGACTGCATGGAAGCTTATTACAATCAAGACACAGTCACTGGCTCTGTGGACACCAACGCAGCAAGGACAGCATGGTCAGGGCTGGGTGGTTGTGCCTCAGCCTTGGCTGTGTGGACCGTGGAGAGGGACAGAAACCCACTGCTACCCTTCCTGTGGGGGCCCGGAACTCTGAGCATCCCAAGTCTCTGGCTTCCAGAGTGGTGACCCCCCCCAATCCCTTGACACAGAGGACAGAACCTGGCATCCCCCCTCTCATCAGCACCTCTCCACACCTGGTTCCTTTCAGGAGCTGCCCGCAGACTGACCCTCTTCCCTTTCAGGCCTGGCTGTGCCTCCCATAGATACCGGCCGGGAATGCAAGGCAGCACTGCCGTGAATGGGGACATGATCCTGCAGGCCATTTTCTCAGAGCCCCTGATGTGTGCTCCATGGACGCCTCTGTCCTCAGGCCCTGGGGACTCCCCACGCTGTGGGCTCATGAGGCACATGTCCTCTCTAAAAGGACAGAACCTGCCTCCTGCCTCTGTGGCAATCTGCTCCCCGCATATCCACTCATAAAAGCTGACAGCCTGCTCGCCTACCTGGCAATTGCAGTGGGGTCTCACCTGCAAGGAGTTAAGGATGGCAAACATGTACTGGAAGACCACGGCCCTGTCATTGACAGCAAGCACACCGAAGACCCACGAGGTGCCCAGGATGGGCAGCAGCACTGCCACAGCTTTTGCTGTCAGCCTGAAAGGGAAACAGGGAGGGTCATCCGGGCAGTGGGCAGGCAGGTGTGGCTGTGAAGGCTGCCCTGTAGGTGCCAGGCTTCAGCATGGGTGCAGACGCAGCCCCTGCAGGCAACCTCAGGTAGGCATTTATCTGGTGAGAGCCTCAGGGATTTCACCTGTTAAGTAGGAACCATCTCCATCTCTGTCCCTTCATAGCTGGTGGGCAGGAGGGAGCTCTGGGAAGGCACGCAGGCTCATGTGGCACAGAGCATCACCCTGAGGGTTTCCCAGGACTGCGGGGAGGGGCCTATCGGGAGGAGGAACCAGGTAGGAGGTCATGATTTGGGGAGACTGAAGCAGCAAAGAGATCCGTTCAGCATCCATAACTCAGAACTTTTGGGAGCTAGGAGATATCTGGAAGGGAGTGGGAAGGCTCTGGGACCAAGGCTTCTTGACATAGTCCATGAAAATGCACATCTGTAGTAAAAAGTTATGGCCAGTGATATTTCTTCAGGCCTCACTGGACTGCAGTCACTGTGTCCCCCTGCTGACCAGCCTGAATCCTGTGTACACAAGCACTGTGACACTGATAGAAGCTCTCAGGGGGCAGGGACCAACTGGTCATCTTCACGGCCCCAGACATACTGAGGCTTGCTGTTGCTGAACTGCACTGCTGACTGACAGCCCCCTCTGCTACCAAGCAGTATCCACCAGCATGCATTTTACCTCTTTCGAGACCCACAGGCCCTCCTGACATGGTGAGGCAGGGTACGTATTCATCTCATCTTACAGATAAAGGAACTGAGGCCCCGCAGCCCCCAGTAATGGTCAAGGCGATGCAAGGTGTCATGGAGGGCAGAGCCAGAGGGTATGCAAGAGCGTATACAGATGTTCCCACTACAGACCAGGCTAGTGCCCACTCTGACTCTGCTCACCCCATGAGGCAGGAGTGAGCCTCCTTGGGCAGCTTTCAGCTCTCTCAGACTTCTGCCCTCCTGCGGGGACAAGACCTCTGTGCCTTCCCTGCCTGGCACCATCCCCTTCCTCGGCTCAATAGTATCCTGGGCTGTTGGTGGTGATAGTGGGGTGCTCTTTCCTCATTGGCTGCAATCTCACAGGATGTCCAATCAGGTTGCCCACTGTCCCTGTACCTGCAAAGGTACATGTGACTCACACTGGTCAATCACAGTGAGCCTCTGGACCTACTCTCCTGCCAGGGTCCCAGGACTAAAGACCACCAGGCTCCTCCTTCTGTCAGTGCCTGACAAGGCCACCTGCTGCTTCCTTCCTCTTAGGCTCTCCAGCTGTCCTAGTCCATGGCTTTTCCAAGACTGGGTCCTTTGGCTTTGCTTGCAATTCTGTGTCCATCTCCCAGGACAGGGTTTTCTACTACTTACAGGCAGAGAGGTGGAGAGCCATCCCTGTGGGGCCATAGAGCTGCCCTTCAGGGGATTCCCCTCCCCAGGAAGTGAAGGGTCCTGGAGACTGCAGAGGCTGAGGCACTGGCACTGACCACCTGTACATAGGAGATGGGGTCCCAGCCTCTGGACCGAGTCGACAGTGCTGTCTCCACTCTGCTGTAGCTGGCCCTGGGTGCCAGAAGTCAGCACGCCTGACCACCTAGGTGGAAGTGCTGACCCCAGGTGTCCCCAGAGGAGAGCAGAGCCAAGGAGCCCAGTGGGGTAGGGAGATACATCTGGCCTCAGGACATCAGCACCCTTAGGATGTAAGTCCCATGAGAACAAGGTCTGGGTCCCACGGTGTCCACAGAGCCCAGAGCTGGCACAGCAGGCTCTCGGGGAATGCTGGATAAATGAACGAGCCAATGCCCAGACTGTTGGACTCAAAGCTGTTTCTAAGATGTTGGGCAAATCACGGTACACTAACTAAAGTCCACTCTATCCTGACTTCTGAAACAGCTGGGCTTTCCACAGCAAGTCCTTTTGCATTTAAGCTCTAGACAAAAGTCTAGGGACTAATGGGGGCCTTGCTGCCCATCTTGGCAACTGCCACATGCCTCAGTTTACCCCTCATTGCTCAGCAAAGAGACTGGGAGCCTGTCTCCCTCACTAGACTACAAGTTCCCTAGAGGCTGGGGCTTTGTCTTCTCATCTCTGCAACCCCAAAGTGCAGCGCAGGGTGGGACTCAGAGGCCCTCAGGACGTGATCACCGAGTGGATGCACAGAAGAGGAGCACATGGATGAATGTGCAAGAGTGCTGTGCATGGGGCCCCACAGCTCCCAGGGCATGTGAACGCCACAACGAGCTTCCTGCCAGAAGCCCGAGATCCCGGCACTGACAGCTCCTGGCAACAATTCCCTGGAAAACCAAGGACTGTTCCAATGCTTCAGATCTCAGGGAAACTGCAGCCGGCATGTTCTCATAACACTAATATGATAAAAATAAAACACCTGTCTCTGGGAAACAAAAATATCATGCATTATTTAGCTACCATCTTTAGATCCTGAAAAAAACATATTTGAAAGGAATAGTCACTGAGAAATAGGTACCAAATGTGCTACTTTTAAAGTGATGGTTTGTTTTTTCCCTAAAAATGGAACTATAAAAGGAGATCTTGAGAAAACACATCTAGTTGAAGCTCTCTGAAGATTCTTGTTAATGCAGCCAGAGCGGTCAGGGTCCCCTTGTCAAACACAGAGGAGAGGGGTCCTGGCTGGGAAGGAGGCCCTGCACAGGTCAGACCCCTTCACTCCTCGAGGCCTCTGCCCCCTTGTGCTCCCTCCCCAAGTTCGACCCTGACATGTGGGGCTCAGGCCCTAGGTGAGTCTCCACCCCCTCACCCACCTGCTCATGGGTGGGCTTCCATGGGATCCTCACCCTCATTCCTCCAACCCAGGATCCCGCATCCCACTTGTAAAAACTAAATGTTCTCTGCTTCTTTCTGGCAAGCTCTGGAATCATGATCAGCGAACAGAGACTTTTTTTTAAAAAAGTGAAAGCTGCACCTATAAAAGGCCCCTAAGAAAACATCTCATCTTGTTTTCACTGCTCGGCACAAAGAACCACTAGATTGGAATGAAAAGAGAAGGGATAAGGAGGAACCAGAGAAGTTTTCTAAGGACACCGTGGCTGCTCTCAGCCTGCCCGGATCCCCCAGCCCTGGCTCTGCTAGGAGAGGGCTATACAACTGTCACTGAGAAGAGAGTGGGAGTGCCCCCCAGCGTCCCACCTGGCCACTTAAAGAAGAGGACCTAAAGCCAGCGGGTCATATATGTGCTGGGTTACATTACAGAGAGCAAGCCACTGGCCTCCACTGGGCTGGGAGGGCATGGTGGCAATGGGTGGGCCATGGTTCTGCAGAGACGGGCTATGTGCTCCCAGTGCACGTTTCTTGCCTCGACTCTACAAGAGCCGCAGACATGGCGCCAGCCTGTCACATGGGTCACCTTTCCATGGAGAGAAAATGAGGCAGGATGAGGAAGGCTGCCTCCTGGGTGGGCTTTGATGGGTAAGGGGAGAGGGGCAGCAGGCAGAACTGGGGGGCCATGGGCACCTGGGTAGGGGGCAAGCACACAGGAATGTTCTGGGGATGGTGAAGGTAGTGGTTTCATGGGCGCCGGACTCAGATGGGGAGGTGAGAGCTTTTGCTGGAGGTGAGGGCTGGGGACAGACTGGCCAGCCTTGGACGCCAAGGTGAGGGCCTTGGGAGCTGAGGGCTGGTGGGAGGAATGCAGGCTCCTCCCGGCCGGGCTGTGGCAGGGCCAGGACAGGCCCACCTCACAGAGAAGCACTTTCTCAACGATGGGAGAGGAAAGAATCCTGACCCCAGGAGCATCTTCTCTCATTTGGGGCACTGCCCTCAAACGTTTCCAGGGGCTGAAAAAAAGCCCAAGAGGCCTGTAGCCACTGGTCAGCTTAATTTACAGTGTTTGGAATTCATTACAGAATAATTATCTCATCGATTTTGCTGCTGGCATATTTACTGTTTTTCTTTTCAGATCAGAAAAGACATACTGCAGCTAGAATAACTTGCAGAATGTCAGCTGCCCAGTTTCCTTGCCCTGTTCTTTACAAAAGCCCCCAAATTCCCTGTGAGGAAGCACCTCCCCAACTTTCAGGGCCTGTGGTTTGGGGGTGCTGGATGCACCCCAGAGTCAGAGTGGACAGTGAGACTTGGGTCCAGTTGATGGGTGAATCCCATTCTCCTGTGACTGGCTCAGGGAGGGGCACAGGGCCTGGCCTGGGTCAGAGTCCTCATCCAGGCCTGCTCTGTCTGCACAGGTGGGAAGGGACTCTTCCCCATGGACTGAACCCTCCTGCTGCTGCCATCCCTGCCACCAGGAGGCAGAGTCAATTTCAGCATGACGCCCACAGAGGACAAAAGATGCCATGGGGGGAACTAGGTCCTGGTGATAATGTTGCCAGATAAAGACTGTAAAATCAAAGCATCTAACCTCAGGACTTCACGGTTACCTGTATCAATAAATTCCCCTGTGCTTAAGCAGTTTGTGTTGGGTTTCCTGCCACCTGCAATTGGCAGGGCCATAACAGATATGGATCAGGAAACCCCAGACGGCAGCAAGTTTTGTGGCTGGAGTCCCTGCCAGAGACCCCTGTTCCTCCTCCAGATGGGCCAGCCCCCAGTGCACACCAGGAAGCTCTGCTCTCTTTAGGCTCTTCCTTCACATGACGCCGTGAGGCAAGGCCTATTGTCAGCCCCATTCTGTTGGAAAGCAAGGCAGAGGGGATGGATAACCCACAAGGTCCTAGCAGACATCAGGGCAGAGGCAGGACTGGCGCAGGCAGTCCAGCTCTAGAATCTTCCCTTCTGTCCCACCTGCGTTACCTCTCACCTGAGGTGAAGCAGCCCCAGGAGAACAACAAGTAGACCCCACTTGTTTACATGTCAGGGCCCCGAGGGTGGGTAAGGGCCTCCTCCTGGGTCACAGGAGTGAACAAGGAGCTGAGCAATTACGTGAAACCAGTGCTGCTCCTGTGAGATCGTAAGGACACTGAGCAAGTCACTGGAGGTAAGAGCGGTTGTCCCTCCTGCAACTCCCTGTGGGCAGGGCAATGGCACCACTGACAGCCTGAGGCCAACTTACTTGAAGGCACTGGGGTCCCCGTGTATCTTATAGTTGTCAGCGCTGATCTGAGAAATGACCCTGGTCACTGCAATGAGGATGCCGATGTTGACCTGTATGAGGACAAGCAACAGGAGAGACGGTGAGGGGGCTGGGGCTGTACCTGCAGCTGCCCCACCCACAAGCCACCCATTGCCTGGCCAGGGCTCCTAAGCAAACGGGTGATGTCTCAGGGACAAATCTAACCTAAGTCCCTGGGCATTTACCAACACGAGCAGCACGCGAGCTTGCCTCTGAGAGCTCACTTGCTACTGGGAAAGGGCAGAGACAAGTTTTAGTCCCAGGATGCACCACAGCAAGAGGAAAAGGGCATAAACTTCAGGACCAGATGTGCCTGGGCTCAAGCCTCATCTCAGCATTCGCTGACTATGAGACCCCAGGCAATGCACCCAAGTCCTCTTAACCTCAGTTCCCCATTTGATGAGATAATAATGCCCACAGTGCAAACTGATTGTCGAAAGATGAGAAATCACATTTATTGAGCCCCCAGCACAGTGCCTGGCTTGTTTCCTGCCCCCCACCCCAGGCCTATGGCCGAGGGGCCCACAGAAGCCATGCAGAGGGGCCTCCCTCTCCTGCTCAGCTCACCCTCCTTGCGACCTGTGGGCTGCAGGGCACTGAGAGGGTTTCCGGCAGAGGCTCCAGCACACCCTCCCCTCACCTGGGCAGCTCTCTGGGGTCCTGAATAGGAGGGGGCGGGGCAGGATACAGCAAGAGAAAATGGGAGCCCTCCCCCAACAATTTCCTCCTGCTACAGCATCCACAGCTGTCTTGCAGGGGCTGTACTATGGTCAGGGCCCTCTCTCTTGTTGATAAATTGTGAAGTCATCTACAGAGTCAGTGAAGAGTCCAGCCCCAAGCCCATCTTTTGTGTGGACTCTCAGTCTGTGACAAAAGCTTCACCTGGCAGGCCTCCTGGAGGACACTGCTGCCCAGCCCAGCCGTGGCACATGGCCGGAGGCTGGTGGTCCCTGAGGGGAGCTGCAGTGGAAACTCAGCCCCACCAGCCACTTGCGCACACACACCTGCACCGCCAGCCCAGGCGCCCGCATCAGGGCCTTTCTGAAGCTCCCTGCTCAGACCACTTTATCGTGGGAGCCTTGAAGACCCTCTTCCACTCTGACTCAGTACCCAGTACTTTTTCACTCCTGGCCTTTCCCCCTCTTCCTCCTCCTGCAGCCAGGCCCGTCCATGAGGCTTTTGCGCAGGGCCCTCTCAGCAGGGAGACCAACCATCCTGTCTGTGCGGAGGCATCTGCCCTCCCAGTGCTGCTCCATGGAGGAAACGGAGCGCTGTGGAGCCAGCCCCTCTCCTGGGCCCCTCTCCTGGGCGGCCTCTGGCTCGTACTGCTGCAGAATCAGGACACAGGCTCAGCCGTTCCTGCCGTTCGGCTCCTTGTCTTGATGGGCCGTCTCAACACTGGGCAGCACAGCTCTCTCCCAGCCCAGCTTCTGACTGCCACACCCACCCTGTCTGCCCTTATGCTCCCATCTAGCCCCTCTCCTGGGTGGCCTCTGGCTCGTACTGCTGCAGAATCAGGACACAGGCTCAGCCGTTCCTGCCGTTCAGCTCCTTGTCTTGATGGGCCGTCTCAACACTGGGCAGCACAGCTCTCTCCCAGCCCAGCTTCTGACTGCCACACCCACCCTGTCTGCCCTTATGCTCCCATCTGTAAAACGAGGACAACCACAGCAGTCTCCCAAGGTCAGGGAGGAGGAGAGAAGTTAAGGGTTGAGCTGCTGGCACGCTGTCTGCACAAAGAGAGTGTTCACTCCCACGGACGCCCTCTAGCCTTCCTCGCTGGCAGACCACGTCACGATTACAAGAAAGCCACCAGCAACTAGGTCAGGAAGAGGGGGCTAGCATGACCGCAGGCTGCTGGTTTTCAAACACAGTTCCACTCCATTCCACTTGCACTGTGACAAAACTGAGGGCAGCTAATGTGTCCTACGGCTGCAGGGAGCAGGACTTCAAAGCGGGATGACCGAGGGCCACTGCAGCCTGAGTGCATGCACCGCATTCCCGCAATGGGCTGGCATCATCCATCTGCCCTGGGGAGCACTTTCTTGCCACTGCTGGTGTATATGAGAGGCAGGGCTGGAGAGGGGAGTAGCCCCCAGCCAAAATGCCACAGACTGTCCTGTTCTTACCAAGACTCACTAGTTTTTCCTGAGTAAATCCTTTTCAGTTTGTATACCTTTGGTTCACTTCTAGAATTCAGAATGTTATTTTTCAAAACAATTCTTCCAGTAGTTTCCTTGTTTTTCTTTTTTCTGGGAGGGGGATTGACCTAGGTCCTCACTCTGCCGTTCTGCATCTCTGGCCTCTTTCACTTTAGGCACTTACATCCTAGATACCTCATACAGCTGTTCATGACAACAAAGATTGTAAACCATCTGAATCTACACCGGCAGACAGGGGTTTGGGGCACCTGTGCACGTCCACTCTCTGGAATACTTTGTGGGTGTGAGAACGACTGAGGAGGCTCACCCTGAGCCAATAGGCCAGAGGTCAAACAGAGGAGACATATAGTTATATCTGCATAAAACCCCTTGGATACACAAGAAACTAGCATCAGGGGTTGCCTATTTGGGGGGAGCATAGCTACCAGGTAATTGAGAAACAGATGAGGGCAGAGACTTTTCATACATACATATATACTTAAGCTGTTTCTTTAAATTTTTGAGTCATGTGTCATCAATTCAAAAATCAAATTTCTTAATTTTTCTTTTAAACAATTACAAATTAAAAGGAAAATAACATGAAACTCATTTCCTGTGAATGTTTTAAAATTGCCTTTGGATGTGTTCCAGCGATTCAGGGAAACCACGAAGCCTGAGCCCTGGAAGAGGGAGGCCCCATGACTCAGGAGAGAAGCGCCGACACCTCAAGTGAGCCTAGGGAATCACCCAAATAACACCCCACGAGAGCTCAGGGTTTCATGATTACTCCTGCCTTGCTGCTGGAGGTGATAAAATGGGATTCTGCTCCGACACTCAGCTGTAAAGGTGACGGATACGCAAACTGACATCACAGACTTTGCTGATAAGGTACTAAAAGGATGATCAACTTACAGCAAGTGTTTCACAAAAACGAAAATACAAGAGATTACTTGGAGTTTTCAAGTCCTTTGTTACTTCTTGGCCACTGTGTATAAGCCACATGAAGAGTTTCAGTAACAGTTAAGCTGCTCATATTATTAGCTGTTACAATTCATTATCATTCCTTTTTCCCCAAAGACTTTGATGGGTTTTATTTCTTTTTCCCTCTCTCTTCCCTAGCCTGGGTCTGTTTGCTTTCATCTGGCATGCACATTTTCTCCACCTCGTCAGGATGATCCCATTTGCCGGGGCATCTTGAGAGGAGGTGCAGCTCACCACGGCCTCCGATCCTGCATCGGTACAATTAAGCAGGAGACAGCGGCTGCAACTGACACAAATCTGGTGTTTCACTAAAATACAAACTAGATGCAGGCTGGGCCTCCTCACGCCATCTGACTCATCCGCGTCCATACCCGGCTAGATGGTGCGTCCACGTTCTACTGCAAATCGGTGAGTCCCTGCACAATGTGAAATATCGTGGGTATTTCATCAACTAAGCATCTCCCCACTAGATAAGTGACAAGCTACTAATGACAAATGTCAAAGAAGCAATTCACGGGTTGCTTTACCAAAAATAAATAAATAAATAAAGTAGGGATATACACTTGGACAGTAAAGCAAAAGTAAAGCAAAGCAGGAGTGGTTACCACACAGGGCAAGGTTGTGGCGACCTCCCGTGGACAGAGGAAGGAGGGTCATGTTATGTTTCTTGACATGGCTCAGGGCCACCTGGGTGTCTATCTGTGAAAAATCATTGGGATATATGCTACTATTTCACAATGAAGGGGTTATACGTATACTATATACAGTATACATAATAGTATGTGTCTATGTCTGTATCTGTATTTATGTATCTTTATGTATCTACATCTACACATCTACCTGTGTATGTATCTATATCAACATATGTGTAAATGTATCTGTGTCTAACTGTATCTGTGGGCCTGTATCTATGTATCTGTCTGTATTTTATACCTGTAACTGTATCTGTCTCTACACAGACACACAGCCACCCTGGCTTCTCCTCAAGGTAGATGAGGATTTTAAGTCAAAGATCCTCCTCCTCTTCCCCAGACCTGGAGGCACTCTCCTCCCCATTGGGGCCAGCCCAGAACAAGCCACTTTGGGGACTAAGGTGCCCCTGGTGGTGAGGGGGGGGGCATGGTTGTCCAGGCTTTGTGGCTTCTGTAAAATCAGGTATTATGGGCTACATTGTGTCCCCCCAAAATCCATATGTTGAAGCCCTAACCCCCATACCTCAGATGTGACTGTATTTGGAGAAAGGTCTTTAAAGAGGTAATTAAGTTAAAACGAGGTCATTAGGGTGGGTCCTAATCCAACATGACTGGTTTCCTTATAAGAGGAGATCAGGACACAGACACACACAGAGGAGACCTTGTGAGGACATACAGAGAGAGGTCTCAGAAGAAACTAACCCTACCTTAATCTTGGACTTCTGGCTCCCAAAACTGGGAGAAAATAAATTTTCTTTCTTTAAGCACCCAGTCTGTGGCACTTTTAGTAGACTAAGACACCAGGGAACAGCTGGTCCCATGGGCACGTCTGCATTTAGCATAATTGGAATCACCCAGCGAATGAAAATCCGTATCCCTTCATTACGAGGAAAGCCTTCTGTGCAGGGCGGTGGGCCATGAGTATGTCTGACAGTGAGATGGTGGGCCAAGTTGTTACCGGGAGGGGCTCAGTTCTGCCCTTTTCTCCTCAGCACTAGTCCTAGCAGTGAGTGACCATTTACTGTCTCCCAATTTCCTGCCCTTTCAGGATGGACCTCACCAGGACACAGGGAAACCACAAGTCCCAACACAAACATACAGCGTTCTAAAAGTGTTTTACTTAAAATTATGCAAGCAATATACGGGTGTTTTTAAATGCATACACCCAAACCCCTCTTTAGGGAACCATTATTTGGAGTGCATCCTTCCAGATGTTCTCTTATCCACGCACATGCTCACATAGAGCTTTTAACATATTACACAAATGAGGTCGCACAATGCTTGTTATCCCGAAACTTGCTTTCTTCATTTGGAAATAAGACAGTGGACTCCTGGGTACATGAGAAAGTGACTCAACACAGCACAAACCGTATGATCCTCTGGAAAGGAGAAAGGCACAAAAATACCCCCCATCCCCCAGCACCAAGCCAGCGGGAAGGCTGACAAAGTAGGAGGGGCACGGGGTCAGCAGGACCCTCCAGGGCACCCCCTAGACCAGAGGTTGTAAATATTTTCAGTTGTGCAGGCCATATGGTCTTTGTTGCAACTATTCAGCTCAACTGTTGTAGCCTGAAAGCTGCCACAGACAGTTTGTGGATCAATGTGTGTGGCTGTGTGCCAATAAAACTTGATCTACAAAAGCAGGTGCTGGACCACGCCGGCTGCAGTTGCTGACCCCTGCACTTGGCCGTGGGATCACTGAAGCCTGCCCTCAACCCTCTTTCAGCTCGTGCCTCCCTCCCAACCTCCCCATTGCTACCAGCATCCCAGGAGGGCATCGAGGACTTCAAGTTGGCTGAACGTTAGAATCACGTGGGAGATTTTAAAGGCCATGAAACCCAGGTCCAAAGAAACCAAAACAACCAAACCTCAGGCAGGAATAGTTTTAAAGCTCCCCATGTAATTCAGTTACATAACAAGTTTAAGAACTTCTGCTCTCCAGGGCTGATGGCTACTGACAAGAGGCATGGGATGTATAGATCTTGAGGTGATGCCTCCTCAGGAATGATGGCAGGGGCTCCTGTGAGCCTGGGAGACACAGGGCACCACGCCAGGATGGGTAGTAGAAAGGGACCCAGGCCGAGCAGCCTGGGAAGCCCACCTACAGGGCAAGTGTCTGTGGCAAGGGCCGACTCTGCCCAGGCCCCGCAGTTCCACAGGGTTTATTCAGTAGAGAGAGAGAGAACAAAGAACATCACACCTAAATACGGTCATTTCCTCTTCTCACCCTTTGTCATTATTTTTGCCTTTGAATCTCCTTCCCAAAAGATCATCCATTGAATTATAGAAGGTGACTGGTTTCTATTGCAGAAATTTTTCTATGTTTTGGTTGGTGAAGTGAATAATTCTGCCAGACCCCAGAGAGGTGGTTGGAAGGGAGCACATGGATCTCTTACAAAAGCCTCCTTAATGCTCTAAAAGGCGGGGTTAGTAAAGTAATTACAGACGATCCTCCTGCAGCCCTGGGGACAGCGGTGCAGCCCCTGGACTTGAGAAGCTCAATAAGACAGCACCACGCAAGGCTTCACCCGCCACAGCAGAAAACAATTAATTGGAAGAAAACCCAGCTGCGCTCAGAGCTCGTTGTTGATGCAAAGGACAGAAGCTTTGACTCCACAGTCCCTCCTCTCCTGATGCCTGCAGATGTCCACATGTGCCTAGAAACAGCCACACTGGCCCCATCCCCTGTGCCTCAGTTTGTCCCTCTGTAAGACACTCAGTGCCACCTCTTCAAGCAGCAATTTTATAGGCAAGTAAAAGAGGTATTATTACTTTGTAATAAACACCTTCACAGCTTTAGAACAAAGATGCTTTATAAATCTGGGCCTTTATTCTGTTAAGTGAAACAACGTGTAAGGACACTTTAGGAACATTCCCTGAATAACCACAGGGAATTAACCAGAAATACCTTGCTATTAGCTCAAAAATACTACATCTCCTCTTGGGGCTTAGCATTTCCCATCTCTAGGCACTGTTGAACTTGAGCCCACACCCAAAATGAGCATAACGTCCAGGGATGGCTTGGAGGTTGCGGGAAACTACAGCTGCTGGGCAGCCTTCAGCGCTGCAACCACTTCCCTGCAATTCGGATCTGGCCCTGGGGTTGAGCCCTCAGTGGTATTAGACAGGAATGGAATTAAGATTGCTTCAACAAGGGGCACAGATTGTTGGCCCAGGGCTCCTATAGCCATCCTTCACCATCACGAGATGCCTGCTGCCTTTCTGCCAAGCCCACACGGCTCTCCTCCAACAGTGTTCTGACCTGAGAAACTGCTTTCCCACACTTGGTCCACACAATTTCGGGGAGGACTGGCCCCCCACCCCAGCCCCAGGGTTAAAGCTATGACCCATGCCTAGACAATCAGAGCACTCCACTCCTCTGGCCTCAGTGAGGGGCTGGGATGGGCAGAGACCCCAGCAAGCCCATCAAAAACAATGGAACCCAACCCCAAGACTTTTGTGGGCGATGTTAGAAAACAGCAACAACAAGGTATTTTCCACAACAGTTGTTACCAGAATTCTGTGTGAGCCTGAACATCTCGCCAGCCTTAGGACAACCTGCGAGAGAACAGGGCTGACTCACAGCAAAGTGGAGCCGAGAGGAGAGAGGGAAGAGCCACACCTGAATGGCCACGTTGGAACCCAGGACCCAGCCACGGTGGCAGAGGCTCCTGATGTACGAGCCTGCAAATTGCCATTTGTGTTTAAACTCTTTGAGTTGTTTTCTGTCACTTGAGACCAAGGGAATCTATCTAACTGTTATGTGCAGTTCCCAGGAGGCTTTTGCCAACATTCCCTCCTGCAGCCTTGGAGTCCTGCAGCAATCTGAGCAGGGAGACAGCATGCATGTGAAAAAATAATGGAAGAGAATCGGGAAGGAAAGGAGGCAGCGTGTCTGCACTGCTCGCAGGACCCTGCATCTATCTGCACCTGCTGCTTTGGCTGGAAAAGCACTGGGAGCCCTAGACAGACCTGCTTCAAAAGCATGCTGAATCTTCCTGAGCTTGCTTAGGGACATGAGGCTCTGAGTCACTACCCCAAGAGGAGCTGTAATGAGGAATGACGCTGCATTCTTAGGATGTGTCCTCAGGGAGGCCGGTACCCTCTCCACAGAGCCACCCACCCTCCCTGCCCACACCCTCCCTTTCTGCCCCCTCCCAGCCCAGCTCTGTGCCCATACAGGCAGGGGACGTACCACAATGACCAACAGGGCAGGGGCTACAAAGGCCCAGATGGCACCACTCCCCAGCGACAGCCAGCAACTGTGGAGGGAAGCAGAGCTGTTACTCACCAGCCTCGGCCCACCTGCTCAGGCTGCCGGGGCACCATCCTCCAGAGGCAGCTGCTAAGACAGTGTCTTTTTCAGCTACAGGGTCCACCTGGGGCACAATCATAATACATTTTATCCATGATGATCTCATGTCTCTCATTTTGGGAAGGATTTTCTGGGTTTGCAGACTGGGTCAGCAACCTGTAGCCAAAATCTGAAGTAGGATTTAATTTCATTGTGAAAAATAAATAAACCTTTGCCAGGGACTGGCTCTCTTCCAGAGTGTTTCAAATACTGACCTAACACATGCCTTCTATGAGGGATTCAAGTGCTGGTGAGTTGGCATGTGACCCAGCGCCTGCCAGTTTCCATCGTCCATTAGCTGATGGTCAGTTATGCTCCCTCAGTGCCCCCAACTGAGAGAAAAGTTCCCACTGGATTGTGGTGATTGCTCTGATGTCCTGGATGTAGGGTCCAGCGTGAGGATGTGAAATTCCTCCTGGCCTCTGAGATGTGACCCCCAGGGACTCAGGCAACAAAGCCAGCTTCATTACAATTCCATCTCTTTTCCAGAGCCCATGGCACTCTCAAGAGCCTAAGATTCCCCAGGAGATCTCATCTTCTTGACTCCTAGGATGCTAAGTGTTTCCCAGGGCATCCAGGTGCATGGCGCATTTTCACCAGCACACGGCATGGATGTCTCTGCAGGGCTGCCTTTAGTCCACTCACTCAGTGACTGTTCTCTGGGCAGCGTGTCTGCCCCACATCACATCAAAACCCCTCCTGCTGCATCATCTCACGTAACCTCATAGCACCCCGAGGTAGACACTGTGGTTATTCCCATCCTGCAGACGAGGAATCTGAGGCCCAGAGAGGTTAGGTGACTTCCAAGATCATTCTTGGGCCCACTGCCTTTCTGCCCCCATTTTTCCCTGAGACCTCCTGGTCCAGGAGACACTAAATGCCCTGAAACAACAGGGGACAGCACCTGTAAGAGGCTCGTTTGTGTCTGGACACCCTGAGCATGGAGAGGAGAAATCTCTCATCTGAGGATGCAGCATTTAAAAGGAAAATGCATGGCCAGTCTGAACGGTGCCTCTGCAAAGGGCAATTCAAACCCAGGCTGTCTGGAGAGTGTGATGAATCTGCAAAGAGAAAGTCTGTGCTTCCCAACATTTCATGCAGAATTTTAGTCAATGAGGAGCTTCCAATACTCTCTTCTGTTCAGAAACCCAACGAGCTTCCTGAACCTCAGCTGGTGCTGCCTGGCACTGGGGCACACGAGTGGGAGAGAGGCTTATATTAGATTCTAATCCTGGAACTGAGACAAGCACTGTGGGTGGGCCCGGCATCCTCAGGCTCCAGATGGGATAAAACAGAATAAATGCCAGCAAATTGTGTTTGAGAAGCACATTCTTCTTTTAATTAGTGCCTCAACTTCTAAAAGCATCCAGGATTGAAAGGAATGGGCCAGAACAATGGTCTGTTTAATCATTCTTGTTTCAATATGCACCCAGACAATGCTTTCTTTAAATGCTTCATCTCCAGCAAATTGTTGCACTACAGCAGATAAGGCTAGACTTCTCTAAGTTTCACAATTCAGCTGAAATGTGATCTCATGGTGAAGCTGTGAACATGTCTAACTCCCTCTCTCTTCTTAAGCATTCTCAGTGATGTTTCCCTTTCACGTTTTCACTGAGGGGTACCTGAGCTTGGCTGAAACAGGCAGCAGCTTCCTAAAGACATTTGAACCAGAGCCTTTTTTCTTATAAGGAAAGGAAACCATATTTCTGGAACTTGAACACCTGCCCTGGTCCCACAGCACCCGCCCATCCTCTTCCTGATTCAACTGTGGACCCTTCAGCTGTACTTTCAAAATGGTGGCATGAGATCCTGGACGTTATAAAGCCACATCTCCTACTACTCAAGCAGTGGGAACCTTGGCTCGCCTTCCTGGTGCACATCAGACCACACGGTATTTGAAATTTCCTAGATTTACTTAGCTGCGAGGTATTGGGCACTTACTGTGTACTGTGCACTTGTTGACCGCCCAAAAAGGGGCTAAAGTGTCACAACTGTATGCTTAATGGGTGACCAGAACTGTGTCTGCAAGGACCACATGGATGAGAAAATTCTAATCAGAAACTCCTACCAGCACCTCACCATTCCTGGAGGCACCCTGACTCGCTGGCTGCTAGTTTCAAGGCTGGACAGTGTGCCCAGAGCCCAGCAGGGCTGTTGCCCACTCTGTCTGGCCTGTGCCTTCCTCACCGCCAGGCCTGGGGAGGCCAGCCTTGCACAGCACCCCTGCACCCAGAAGAGCTGAGGCCATGAGGACTCCTCACGGTGATGCTTCCCATGGAATTCCTGCCAGAAACAAGGGATGCTCAGAAGGCACACCCCCTCACTTACTTGTCACTTGTTCCATAACTGTCCATGGCAGATGATATCGAAATGATGCAGATCAGAAGAGGAAAGCCTGCAGAAAATCAGAGAATATCATGGTTGCTTGCTCCAGTTCCCCTTTCTCCACTGATTCATTTATTCTTTTTCTACCTGATATATGCAGAGAACTATGTGCTAAGTGCTGGGGGCACAGAACAGCCCCATCCTCAAAGAACTCACAGTCTAAGCGGATGACCTGGGTGAGACTGAGATGTGGCACTGCAGTGACAGGAAAGGGAGCTCAGCTTGGTCTCTCTAGACCAGTGATTCTCCAGCAGGGCTGAGACGGCCCCACAGGAGACATTTGGCAGTGACTGATTTCGCTCTGGTTGTCATCACAGGGGTATGTGCCATTGGTATCTAGTAGGTAGAGGCCAGAGATTCTGCTAAACACCCTACAATGCACAAGACAGCCCCACAACAAGAATGATACAGCCCATGTGTCTATAGTGTCCATTGAGCCCCACTCTAACGTGGCCCGGGAAGGTGGGAGAGAAAGGTCAGCTGGGACTGGGAGGATGGTGGGTGTGGCTGGGTTCGTCATGCACACAGTCCACATTCTTCCAGTATTTGAGCCCATAATTTCCTTAGGATGGCCCGGGAAGGTGGGAGAGAAAGGTCAGCTGGGACTGGGAGGATGGTGGGTGTGTCTGGGTTCGTCATGCACACAGTCCACATTCTTCCAGTATTTGAGCCCATAATTTCCTTAGGAGACTGTCACACTCCATCATTCCATGTGGTTCAGGTGGGCTGTTTCCTTCTGATTCTAAGGCACATGACCCAGCAATGGCTAATTGGAACCTCAAATATCCCTGGCCACAGCTATTGGCTCAAGGGTGGGCATGTGACCCTGGGTGGACCAACGAGACTCAGTCACAGACTTTCTTTAAAACTGCTGGGAGAGAAGAGCTGTCCTTCCCACTGGGCTCCTGAGAGGATGTGGATGATGGCGAAATGGGTCCAGGCCGTCATCTTGGCACCACAAGGGGGAGAGCCCAGGGCACCAACACATAGGAAATCAGATCTGAGAGATGGAAAGGAAGGTGAAATCTCGATTATGACACTTAAGCCCATGGATCAAGCCATACCTGTGGTCCAATACCTTGGAAGATTTTTGTTATATAAGCCATTAAATTTTCTTTTGCCTAGGCTAGTTTGAGTTGGATTTCTGCTACTTGAAACTGAGTGTAACAAATTAAATGTGTTTAATATTTTACAAAGCCATGTCAGACTTTGGGGATGTGGTAGAATAAATCTCTAAGAATAGGTAGAAAAACACCTGGATCAGCAATTCCCAGAAATTTCATTCTGCAAAGAAAAAATTCCATGGTCAAACTACTTTCAGAACCTCTGCCCTAACCAAAAGTGACCCGGCTTCTAATTTCACTTACAAAGCTCAGAGGTCTTACATGGTAATTCATCTTATAAATCTCCAAAAGGAGGATTATATCACAACACTTCCTGAGCTCAGCCACCATAGAATTTGTTCTGGAAACATGGCTCTCTACTTCCACATACACACCTGAACTTTGGGGCAGATACCTCATGAATCTGACTCTAGATCTGAAAACAACACACTTGTGGCTGCTCAGAGAGTGGAGCATCCTCCACGGGGCCTAGGTCTGGTGCCACTGCCCTGAGCACAGCAGCCCCTGCCCACTGCTCCCTCTGCAGGGAAGGGTGGGGATGAGGTGAGGAGACAGCAAAGGATCCCCTCCTCTTCCACCCCTGAAACTCTCCTCACAGAGAATGTCCAAGAGAAACAGCTCCTAGCAAGGAAATGGCACTTCCCAGGTTCCTGGGGTAAAAGGGTGGGAGATGGAAGTACATTAGGAACATGTGGCTCCTGTAGCGTGGTGGCTGAGGTTGCACAGCCTGTGGGAGATTGTGCCCCAGGGCAAGGAGAGGGAAGGTGGCTCCACACAGACCTGAGCGCCCCCGGCTGCGGCTCTCCAACGGCCCCTGGGGGCAGAGCCATGTCCACGCAGGCCCTTCTGAATACCAGGGTTCGTTTTATGTTTTTAAATTAATCATCTTGAAAGGAATTTTCCTGGACAGTCGTGTCTCAGAAACACTTTGTTTTGAATGTCAAGATAGTTTAAATGCCTTACAGAATGTCTGGGCAATAAAGATAAAAAAAATAAAAAAATAAAGTCATCCACAAAGAAGAGCAGGTGGCCTCTGGGGAGGGGTTAAGGGTGGGAGACACAGCCTTTCACTGTAGGCCTTTGTCGCAAGCTTCTCATGGGTGGGTACCACCTGATAAAGGGCAAATGCTTTTCTTTAGTATTTGAACGCCTCTGGCGCAGTGTTTCTTCCTAGATGGAGACAGAGCCACAGTCGGAACTGAAGAGAAAACTCAAGGAGGAGGGAGCGCTGGGATCCGGTTCTGGCCCTGCGGCTGACTCGCGGGGGTGGGGTCCCGACACCCGCTCCATGCCTTAGTTTCCTCAGATGCCATGGGGTGGGAGGATGATGTGGGGTCTGGGATGGTGGGCACTGCCAGCCACCATGTGCAGGAGGAGCCATTGCCCCGGCCCATCTATTCTCTGATGGAAGCACTGAGTCCACAGACAGCCATGTGGTGCCCCACACCTGGTGCAGCAGGCCATGGTTCACAGAGGAGGCCTTGTGGGCTCTGGGAGGTGTTGCCAGGACTGGAGGTGGCCCTGGGAGGGTGGCTTTTCAAACTGGGTGGCCGAGGCCTTTGCTTTGAGCCTGCACCTCCTTCCCCTGATCCTGGCTGAATCAGGGGCTGGTGTCTTACATCGTCCCCTATGTCCAGCGGAGGCTGAGCCATGGGCAGTGACTCGAGGGTCCGTCTGAGAAGAGGGTGGGCCCCACTGACCTCTTCCTCTGAAGCAAACTGCAGGAGCCGCAGGGACTGGCTGAGTATGGGGGCCAGGGGAGGCGGTTTAAGAAGAAAAAGTTCACATAGAGAATGAGGAGAGTGGCTGCAGGATGGAGAAGACAGCGAGTAGAAAAGTCTGGACTTTGTGCCAAATGACACCTGGTTTTATTCTATTCCTGGGGACACGCTGGGCTGGCTGTGCAGCCACAGGGAACTGGCTGACCCTCTCTAAGCCTGTGTTCTCAGTGTGCAAATGGAGATTGGCTGCTGTGAGGATTACATGAAATGTTCATTTCCCACAGTTTCAGTTACTGGCGGTCAACTGTGCTCTGAAAATAGGTGAATACAGTACAATATTTTGAGAGGGAGAGAGAGACCACATTCACATAACTTTTATTACAGTATGTTGTTATAATTATTCTATTTTATTATTAGTTATTGTTGCTAATCTCTTCCTGTGTCTACGTTATAAATTAAACTTTGTCATAGGTTTGTATAGACAGAAGAAAACACAGGATGTATAGGGCTTGGTACTATCTTCGGTTTCAGACATCCACTAGGGGTCTTGGAACGTACCCCCCCCAAGGATAAGGGGCAATTACTGTATGCGCAGAAAGAGGCCCTCAATATGTGAAGCTAACCCCTGTAATAATCTCTGTCATTAACCAACCTGGAGCCCCACCCCTCTCCCACTACTGCCGTGACTGGAAACTCTCCTCCCGATACTCTGTGCAGACTTGTGACATGCTGCTGCAGACAATGCGGAGTCCTTCTGGCCCTGTCATAATAGACATTTACTTTGTGACTCTTCTCTGGAACACAGTAAACTTTCAGGGGGACTGGGCAGGTGCTTCCCCTGGCTTCTGCCTCCTAAGGGTCAGGACAGATGACGTGTGACCATAAGGAAGGAGCATGTGTTGTGAGACATTACCCAGGGCAGACAGAGAGAGACCAGAGGGCACAGGCACAGGGGCGAGGATGTCTCGACAGAGATGGGGAGAGACGACAACACAGGAAACAAAGTCTGCCCTCCTGTGGATGTAACCAGTGCCACCTGTTACACAGTTCCAGATGCTAGCTCTGGGCATCCTGCACATCTGGGCTCTTGGGGCTATGAGGCTCATTCTGGACATTGAGTTGTGGGCAGAAGTGGCACATCTATTACGGGCTGAGCATGTAATGTCCCCGGGGCTCTCAACCTCCTGCCACTGCTGGCCCTCCGTGGACATGTTGTATAAACTGGAAATCAGAGTGTGTGGTTTAAAACCAATGACAGTCTGTTACAGCACACTACCTAGATGCCTGACTACACCTCCCACGATCTTGGTGCTGTGCAACTCTTTGGAACAAAATGCAAGTTCAGGGAAAGGTGGAGCCTAGGATTGACTATGATTAAGTGCTACCCCAAGACAAATGGGCACTCACAAAATAAATTAATTTGCAATAGAGAGAAATAAAGCAAGTTACATTTCTTTCATTTCTGAGTTCGGGATTAGAGATTCGTATCCATTGCACTGATGTGTAAACTCTCAAACACTTATCCTTGTCTCCTCTCCTGGCTTCCATGTGGACTCCTGGAGGGCTGAGATTATATTTCATTCACCTCCACCCCTCACAATTCCTAGCACAGGGCCTGGAAGCCAACAGAACCTCAAAGGAAGTTGTTGATTTCATACCTCCACCACCCCCAGAACATAGTTTCTAGGTTTCACAAAAATGATATTGCTGGAAGGTTGGAGTAATCTACAGGGAAGAAGCAGCCTCCCTCTTCCAGGGCCCTTCCTGTGTGTTCTCACCATGTTCTGGCTCTTTCTTAATTAAAAATGAAGGTGGAGAGAGCCCATCTGCCTGTGGACTATCTTAACTTAGGCCCAAAGCCAACTCCAACCCGGTCAGAATGAAGGACACAGTTTATGGGCTCTGGATGAAATTAATTAAGGAAAAGCTGACAGGAAGACAGACGGGGGTTGCAGGACTGACAGAAACAGTCCAGCACTCTCATGGCAGAGAGCCTGTAGGAGGGGCCATAACTCAAAGCCCTACAGTGACCATGCTGGTGTCAGAGACCACACAGTTCCAGCCACTGCTGTTAAGTAGGAATATAAAGGCAGGGTGCCTGACCTTCTCATTTTTCCAAAAACTTCATAATTTTATGTAATGTCCCTCAGTTTTTACATATTGGC